CACCTCGCACAGCACAATAAAGTTCACGAGTGGATCGAGCTCCCAGAGGCCTGGCCCGGGGGTCAGCGGGAGGGGGGCCGGGGCCGCGGCACCCGTGTCGGGCCTGGGGCGGGAGGACACGGGCTCGGAGGCTGGGCTGGGGGCCACATTAGTGAGTTATGGAGCCCAGGACTTGGGGGGAGGTCGGGGGAGGTGCAGCCGCGGGTGGTGACCCCCGGGGGGGGGTGAAGGCCTGAGCCGGCCGCTGTCACCTGACCGTGGGGCCCCAGCCCAGAAGCAAATGTTGCGCAGAGGTCAAATTCCAGGACGAGAGCCGGTGTGATCGCAGCCACTCAGGAGGCTGAGATCTGAGGATCCAGGTTCAAAGCCAGCCCGTGCAGGAAAGCCGTGAGCCCAACGGACCAGCAAAAAGCTGGAAGTGGAGCTGTGGCTCAAGTGGTAGAGCGCCAGCCCTGAGCAGTAAAAGCTCAAGGGACAAGCCCCGGGGGCCAAGTTCAAGCCTCCGTACTAGCCAGAGGCAGGCGGTGGGTGGGGGGCCGGAAATGCCTCCACTCTGACGGCAAGTCGCGAGGGCCCACCCACATTTATTACCTCGTCCCAGAAGCCAAAACGCACGCCTCAGGAGGAAGACGCTTCCGGAAGGGGAGCAAATTCAAACATCAGTTTGCAAATCCAGATACATGGCTAAGGGGATGGGGCAGGGGCCACGGGCCTCGGATGGAAAACTCACTTCCTGTCTGCTGGGGGGGGGGTGCCCAGGCCAACCCTCGAGGAGTCAGCCAGGGGGGCAAGAGGGATTTCAAAAGCTGGAAACTCCAGGCTGAGGCTGTGCGGGCAGCCTACAGCGCCCTCCAGCCCTGCTCCCCCAGGGGGGCGCCCCCAGACCCCTTGGCTTTATGGGGTGCCTTTGCCTTGCGGGAACTGAGGCGCTTGCAGGCTTCCAGATCCCGGTGGGTGCTCATTATCAGCCGGCTGCGTGGGAAAAGGAGCACCATGGTCGGAGTCCCCCGGAAGTCACCCTCTCCAAGGACAGAGGCCGCTGCCCCGCCAGAACCCCTCCAGTGGGCTGCACCTGCGCAGCCGCAGCGAGAGGCTACCCTAGCCCCCCTCCTCCAGCCCAACTTGATGGTGTGATTGTGGTGGCGGTGGAGACCCGCAGGAGAATTGCTGCCTACAGGTGGTTCTTGCCTCAGATCCGTCCCAGTGGTTACCCCTAACTCTACCTGCCGGACCCCCCACAGCCACACCCCAACTTACTTGAGGTTGGAGAGTTCCACGATGAGGCCACGCACGGTGTCAGTGGCGTCCTCCATCTGGGAGGGCTCGGGGGCCCGGGTTCCCGGGACCGGCCTGGGAGGAGGGAAGTCATTGCTGAGCTTCCCACAATGCCCCGCTGGAGGCCTTCCTCTGGCCCCTGCCTCTTCTCTTTCCCCAGGACCCAGCCCCTCGCTCTTCTGTTGTGCCCTGCCCCTCCTCCCGCCTGGGCCTCTCGGCTCCATCCAGCTGAAATCCTGGTTATCTGGGAGCCCTCTCAGGCTTCTGGGAAGTTCTTTCCCAATGTGTAGTGGGGCTTCAATTCCACTACCTTTAGCACCCTGAACCCCTGGGGCTGCCCAGTGCTCCATCACTGGGCCCACGGTGGGGCCTGTCACCATCATTCCCAGAGCCACAGAAAGAGCGGAGCCAGCAGCCCAGCGCTGAGGAAGGGGAGCTGAGGTGTGGGATAAGAGGAAGAGGATTAGGGTGACAAGGGGTATCATGGTTCGGTTGGAGTTGGGCTAAGATTAATCAGTAGGGTACAGGTAGGTGACAGTAATGGGAAGGGCTAGTTTAAAAGAAGTTTCCACATGAGGCGGGACAGGGTGGCCTGGGGTACAGCTGGGGTCAGGAGGGGGGTGGAATTAAGTGGAGATTTGGTCAGGGCTGGGTAGGGTTCCGAGGAGCACTGGGCCTGGGGAGATGGTTACAAAAGTGGTTCGGTTTAGAATTAGGATCTAGAGGGAGGGGAGCTAGGTTTAAGGCTGGGATTAAGATAATTGTTGTGCCAGGTGGGCGCCAGTGGTTCACACCTATAATCCTAGCTACTCAGAAGTCTGAGATCTGAAGATCATGGTTCAAAGCTAGCTTGGACAGGAAAGTGCATGAGACTTTTTTTTTTTTGTCAGTCCTGGGTCTTGAACTCCGGGCCTGGGCGCTGTCCCTCAGCTCTTCAGCTCAAGGCGAGCACTTAAGCCACAGGGCCACTTCCAGTTTTTTTAATGGTTTATTGGAGGTAAGAGTCTCACAGACTTCCTGCCTGGGCTGGCTTTGAACCACGATCCTCAGATCTCAGCCTCCTGAGTAGCTAGGATTACAGGCGTGAGCTACCAGCTCCGGCTCTGAGAAACTCTTATCTCCAACGAACCACCAGAAAACCAGATGTGGTGCTGTGGCTCAAGTGGTAGAGCACTCGCCTTTAGCTGAGGAACTGAGGGACAGCGCCCAGACCCAGAGTTCAAGCCCCACGACTGACAAGAAAAAGGAAAAAAAAAAAAGGATGTTGTTAGGTGAGGGGCAGTGTTCAGGCTCATGGCAAGGCATGGTTAGGGTTAGGGTAGGATAGGATCGCTGTTCCCGTGAGGTTAGGGTTTGGGCTAGTGCTGGGTGCATGTACGTCTGCGCCTCCATGTGGAGTGGGCCTGGCCAGTACCTGTGGGCACAGCAGCTGGGCTGGCAGAAGGGTCAGGAGGGCCTTCCCCGTGTGGACCTCAGGCCAGCACTCTGCCAACTCCCTCAGCCCAGTCTAGGCTGAGCCAGGGAAGAGGGGGAGGGGGAGGGGTTGGGGGAAGGAAAGGATAGGGGACCGGGGAGGGCAGTGTCCCTCCTCCGTGGCGCACACAACAGAACCTGTCCTCCACTACTGCTGAGCTTGGGAGTGGGGTTATATACCTCGGATGGCAGGGGAAGGGATGTTCTACACATACGCATGCGCACGCGCGCGCACACACACACACACACACACACACACACGCTGCACAATGATGACCGAAAAACAGGGAAATGGTGGCTGGCCTGGGCTGTCAGATCAGGAGAGGAAAGGAGGAGGTGGAACATTAGAGTCTCATGCGTGCCCCGGATGGTTGCTCCTTGCCCAGTCTCTTCCCCCTGCCCATGGGCAATTCCTGTTCCCAAGAAATTATTTTATTTATTTTTTTGGTGGTCGTGGGGCTTGAACTCTGGGCCTGGGTGCTGTCCCTCAGCTCTTCAGCTCAAGGGGAGCTCTACCACTTGAGCTACAGCGCCACTTCTGGTTTTCTGGTGGTTTAATGGAGATAAGAGTTTCCCAGACTTTCCTGCCGGGACTGGCTTTGGACCGTGATCCTAGATCTCAGCCTCCTGAGTAGCTAGGATGACAGGTGTGAGCCATCACCGCCAAGAAACTCTTACAACACACAGAGTCACAGAACCTACAGATCTGATGTCACTGGGCTCCTGGGAACAGAGACTGGCTTAGTTGATCTCTGGTCACCATTTTCAAGAAGCCAGGGGTTCACAGGCAGTGTGAAAAATGAGGCTCAGTCTCCCTAGCTAGAGGGTGAGGGGAACTGGGGTGCATCATTACCCTCCAGAGCACAGGGCTGGCCAATCAGGTTCGGGGCTTACCTGGGCTTCGCCTCCATCACTGCAACCGGGTCTCCGATGGTGGCACATGAGCTGGGGCCAGGCCACTCGAGGCCCGGCGTTGTCCCTTCAGGAAAGCCCTAGGAGGAGAGCGCAGCATGTGAGGAACCCGTCTTGGAGCAGTGGACACGGAAGGCAGGAGTTCTTCCATGAGCTGGGTCTCGCACCTTTCCTGCAGGAACCGCAGTCCCCCGCTAGGGGGCAGTTTACCAACAGTGTCACCAACGTGTCCATGGTGGTGCGGTTTTGTGACATTCATCTGTTGTCATTTGGATATGAACTGTCCCCCCTCAGGGTTCCTATGCTGGGGGTTTGGTCCCCACCTTATAGGCATTTTTTTGTTGTTGTTGGTCGTGGAACCTGAATGCTGGGCCTGGGCGCTGTCCCTCAGCGCTTCAGCTCAAGGAGAGCGCTCTACCACTTGAGCCACAGCGCCACTTCTGCTTCTGTGGTGCTGAGGAATCGAACCCAGGGCTTCACGCATGCAAGGCAAGCATTCTACCACTGTGCCACCTTCCCAGTCCCCTATTCAATCATGTGCGTTGATGTCATCCACGGATTTACCCTTCATAGGCTGCTTAGGGAGAGAACCTAGTGAGAGGAAGCAAGCTACCGTGGGTGGGGCTTTTGCTGGTAGGGGAGAGTGCTAGGGGCAATGGTACTTTCTGATTGGAAGAAACAGGTCACCATGGGCGGGGCCTTTGAGAGTTGAAGCCTGCTGTGGGCGTGGCAGCCTCTGGTTAGGGGAGAAGGGCCTCTGTGGGTGTGGCCTCTGCCAATTGGAGGCAGCAGGTCACAGTGGGCGTGGCCTTTGAATGGCGCAGGTTATTCCCAAAACACATTTCCTCTTTCCGTCCTCAGCGCTCCATTTCCTGGCTGCGATGGTGAGAGACGCCTTCATCTCAGGCCCACAGCCGTGGAGCTGCCCCACCACAGGCCAAAGCCGCTGACACGGAACCCACCTACACCCTTCCTCCCTCCGGGTCGTTTCCTTCGGGCGTCCGGTTCATCATCGATCACCACGCCAAAACGCGCAAAGAGGCAAGAAGAGAAGAGGGGGAGGCAGCTGGCCATCCCTGGCTGCCGAGGCTTCCTCTGAGAGGCAGGCAGGCCTGGCGGGGCCCCTGAAGAGAGGAGAGCCTCAGAGAAGCACGGTGAGGAACACCCTGAACCCCAGCATCTCTGCCTCAAGGGGACACCTCACCAAGTCTACAGACCCCCCAAAATGACTGTGCCCCAAATGTCAGTGTTTCAGAAGCTGGGACACACACCAGCTTCAGACTCACTAAGTCTTCAGTGTCTGTCTCTTTCTTTCTTTCTTTCATTTTTTTGTCGGTCGTGGGGTTTGAACTCTGGGCCTGGGCGCTGTCCCTGAGCTTCTTTTGCTCAAGGCTAGCGCTCTACCACCTGAGCCACAGCACTTCTTATGTGGTGCTGAGGAATCGAACCCAGGGCCTCATGCATGCAAGGCAAGCGCTCTGACAGGGAGCCACCTTCCCAGCTCATGCTTGAGTCTTTGCTGTAGCCAACTTTGTGGTTTAAAAATGCAAGCACTATCTACCACTGAGCCACCCTCTCAGGGCCTGCCCCCCTCCCAAAGAGACTCTATCCCCAATTAACCACTCAAAAACTGGAAGTGGAGCTGTGGTTCAAAGTGGTAGCGTGCTAGCCTTGGCAGAAGAGCCCAGGGACAGTGCCCAGGTCCTGAGTTCAAGCCTCACAACTGCCTAAATAAACCAACAAACAATAGTACAATTTGTACCCGGGTGCCCGTGGCTCATATTTGTAATCCTGGCTACTCAGGAAGCAGAAATTGGGATTGCAGTTCAAAGCCAACCCAGGCAAGTAAGTCTGTGAAACTCTTATTGCCAATTAACCAGCAAAAGCTGAAAGTGGAGCCGTGGCTCAAGTGACGTAGTAGTAGCCTTAGCAAAAAAAAAAAAAGCCTCAGGGATAGCACCCAGGCCTTGAGTTCAAGTCTAGGACTGGCACACATTCACAAAAAAACATGTAATTAGAAGCTGGATGCTGGTGGTTCATGCCTGTAATCCTAGCTACTCAGGGGGTTAAGAGGCTTGAGAAACTGGTACCAGGCTGTTTGCTTGCTTTTGCAGTGCTGAGGATGGAACCCAGGGTCTCCTGCAGCTAGCCAAGTGCTCAGCTCTGGAGCCCTGACCCACAAGGCCCTGCCCAGCCACACCCAACAAAACCACACCCTACTGCATCACTACCCCGCCCGGGGCCCAGATGTGTAACTGCTCAACAATTACCATTAAACAGAACAGGAGACCAGGGTTTCTCTGACACTCACTGCCATCAGGACAACAGGAGGCCTTGGTGCTGGTTTCTGGGTCTATCTCTGCTTATTCCCAGGAGTCCCCTCCCCTCTGCCATCCTGCTGGGGGGCGGGGGTGGGGCATCTGTCCTGCCCATGGGAACCTGCTTGGCCGCTGGGTGGCTCTGACAGGAAGCCGAGGAGCCACGCCCTCCTGGGTCCTGCTTCCTTGGACTCTTCCGTCTGGGTGCACTTGACCCCACATCCCAGAAGCTCCTTCAGTCTTCCCTCGGCCACAGCTCAGGAGCCATAACCTGGGTCCATCCAATCAAAGAAGACAGCTCTTTGTTCCGAGAAGACAGAGGAGGACCCCCAGTTTGAGCTGAGGGTACAGCTCAGCAGTACAACGCTTGCCCAGAAAATGCCAGGCCCATGCTGGGTGTCAGTAGCTCACGCCTGTCATCCTAGCTACTCAGGAGACTGACATCTAGGGATCGCAGTTCAATGCCAGCCCAGGGAAGCAAAGTCTGTGAGACTTATCTCCAGTGAACCACCAGAAAATCAGAAGTGGCGCTGTGGCTCAAGTAGTAGCATGCTAGCCTTGAACTGAAGAGCTGAGGGACAGCACCCAGGCCCAGAGTTCAAGCCCCACGACTGGCCAAAAAAAAAAAAAGAAAATGCCAGGCCCTGGGTCCCATCCCCAGCAACACACACACACACACACACATGTACACACACATATGCATGCACACGCACAAACCCCCAACCAGGAGTCTGCTGGGTAAACGGATGCCACAACCCCTCCTTCTATTACCACGGGGCATCTCGGGGCACACCGCCATGCTCACCTGCTCAGGGGGGAGTTCCATATCGGTGACATCCAGGGCATCCTGCATCTGACTGTCCAGCAGGAAGTCCAGTTCCATGGCTGGCGATTCTGGCCATGAGACCTGGCTTGCAGAAACCAGAGAGAGTTGGGGTGGCCCCAGCAGGTCTGTGGAGGTGTCTGTGCCGCCCGAGCAGGCTGCGGTCTCCTGCAGAGGGCCCTGGGCTGTGTCTGGGTCATTCAGCAGGCTGGAGACTTGGGGGGATGGATGGAGCTCCCCGAGGTGCTGTTGGCACTGGCTGGGTAACTCGGCTGGCTCTCCAGGCACAGGCTGTGCCAGGGAAGGCAGTGCGCCCATCACTTCTGGTCCTTGGGGATCCGGTGTCCGATCCACCTGTGGACCTACTTCCAGGATTACAAGGCCGGGATCTCCAGGATGCACTGTGGGCTCTGGATCCCCCAGAGCTGAGGCATCGCAGAGGGGCTGCTCCTCCCGCTCTGCCTCCCCTCCGCTGCCCCGCAGGGCCCCGCTGATGTCTGGCTCAGGGGCCTGATTGTCAGGAGAGCCCAGAGGCCCCGCCTCCTCCAGAGTCAGGCTCCCCATGACAAGGGTCTCCGTCATGGAACAGCCCATGGGACAGTTCTGATCTGCTTCTCCCCCGGCCTGGCTGCTTAGCTCCCCAGGCTCAGGGGGACCCTGGGCCATTGGTGGGGTGTTCGTAAATATCGGGGGAGGGCTCAGGCCTTGGGCCGAGTGTAGGGCAGGAATGGACCCCACTGGAGAGCCTGGGATGCCATCTCCTGCCTCCTGCCCCACCCCAGGCGGATCAGCTTCGGCCCCATCGTGGGGGGCTCCACGTTCGGGTTCCTCTTCATCATCACCGCCGGGCAGGCGCCCACTCTGATGCCCATCACTTGGCACGCGAGGGCTCTGCGTCGGAGGCTCATGGTCGCTCCTTGGTTTTGACACAGGGTGCAAGCCGGCTGTTTCCAGGCTGCACAGCCCCTCCTCCACTTTGAGACAGAACTCTGGCAGAGAATCACCACTGCCAGCCACAGTGGTGAGCTTCTGGCCAGGCTGCTGGGAGCAGGGGTCATCTGCCTGGGCCTGCTCTCCCAGCACCCCGGTCTCTTGGAGGTTGAGCTCTGGGGGGTCCCCAAATGACTGGGTGCTAGCTGGCTGGGCACCTGGCTCAGACAGAGTTTCCTGTGGGAAGGAAAAGAAGTCTGGGGGTAGGAGCCTGTGTCTCACACCTGTAATCCTGGTTACTCAGGAGGCTGAGATCTGAGGATCACAGTTCCAAGCCAGCCTGGGCAGGCACGTCAGTGAGACTCTTATCGCCAATGAACCATGTGTAAATCAGACGTAGAACTGTGGCTCAAGGTGGTAGAGTGCTATTCTTAGTTAAAAAGCTCGGGGATAGCGCCCAGGCCGAGTTCAAGCCTCACCAATGGGCAAAAAAAGGTTGTAAGCTAGCCGGGCGCTGGTGGCTCACGCCTGTAATCCTAGCTACTCAGGAGGCTGAGATCTGAGGATCGCGGTTCAAAGCCAGCCCGGGCAGGAAAGACCGTGAGACTCCTATTTCCAATAAACCACCAGAAAACCAGAAGTGGCGCTGTAGCTCAAGTGGTAGAGCGCTCACCTTGAGCTGAAGAGCTGAGGGACAGCGCCCAGGCCCAGAGTTCAAGCCCCACAACCGACAAAAAAAAAAAAAAAAAAGGTTGTAAACCAGGTGCTGGTGGCTTACACCTGTAATCCAAGCTGCTCAGGGGGCTGAGATCTGAGAAACTCAGTTCAAAACCAGCCCGGGCAGGAAAATCCATGAGACTCTTATCTCCAATAAATCACCAGAAAACCAGAAGTGGTGCTGTGGCTCAAGTGGTAGAGTGCTTGCCTTGAGTTGGAGAGCTGAGGACAGCGCCCAGGCCCAGAGTTCAAGTCCCATGACTGGAAAAAAAAAAAGCTGTGGGTTTTTTTTTTTTTTTGCAGGGGGAGGGGGGGGTCACTTGTGGGGCTTGAACTCAGCCTGGGCGCTGTCCCTCAGCTCTTCAGCTCAAAGCAGGCGCTCTACCACTTGAGCCACAGCACCGCTTCCTGTTTTCTGCTGGTTCCCTGGAGTTAAGAGTCTCATGGACTTTCCTGTCTGCTTGCAGCTGCTCTTTATAGCTACACCCCCACTCCCCATGCTGTGACTACTGTCTCCAACACCTGGCCACCATTAATCTGAATGCTACCTTTGTAATCTTTCTGGTTTACTTGTTTATTTGCCTTACTGTGGCAGGAACGCAGATCTAGTACATGAGAGACAAGCCCTCTGCCAGCCAGCTTCAGCTACTCGAGGCTTTCTAGGGTATTCGGGGCTAGGGTTGGTTCCTGGCACAGTTGCTGTGAATCCTCACTATCTACCTTACCTTCTCCATGGTTGTGTGAGACATGGAAACCCCCCAAATTCCCAGTGGTAAGGGACAGAGAACCTGACGTAGGGCTTGGGATAAGTCTGATTCTTTCTGCACACACAGGAAAGAGGCTGCAGGCCTCACAGACCTGGAGGCCTGCTGCCAGCTGTGCACATCTGGGGAGGGGGAGGGGCAGGAACAGCAAGAGCCAGAGAAGGCCGACAGAGGTAAAACCCAACACAGAGGCCTGTGGCCAGCCCGCCCAGGCCCCCAGCTCCAGCCTCTTACCAGCCGGCCCGGCCTATGCTTGCTCGTGGCGACTTCCACCCTGGCCTCCACATTTCTGGCTACTGTCTTCCTGGCTCTGGCGAACTGGGGGACAAACCTCCCCACTGGAACCTGGAAAGCCAACACAGCCAGCACTGGAGCCATGAAGATGCAGGAAGGGGAGGCCCTGGAAAAAGCTACCTCTGCCTGGTCCTCCAGCCCCCTCCTCCTCCCCCTTCCTCCTCCTCTCCCTGATCCTTCTCTTCTCTTTCTCCTTCCCCCTCCTCTTCCATCTCCCTCTCCATTTCCTTTTTTGTTTTTGTTTTTTCTTGTTGGTCGTGGGCCTTGAACTCTGGGCCTGGGCGCTGTTCCTCAGCTCTTCAGCTCAAGGCTAGTGCCCTACCACTTGAGCCACAGTGCCACTTCCAGTTTTCTGGTGGTTCATTGGAGCTGAGTCTCTTGGACTTTCCTTCCTGGGCTAGCTTTGAACCATGATCCTCAGATCTCAGCCTCCTGAGTAGCTAGGATGACAGGCGTGAGCCACGGGTGCCTGGCTATTTCCTCCTATTTCTCCTCCATTTCCCCCTCTTCTTCTTCCTCCCCCTACTCCTCTCCATCCTCTTCCTCTTCTTCCTCCTCCCCCGCACCCTGTGGTCGGGGGCAGTGCTGCCTCAGCAGGGTTTCCTGTACTTCCAAGGTCACAGTGCAGCTTACCTGGGAAGGAGGGAGATCAGGCTCCTTTTCCAGTCGCTGTAGGGGCCCGAGGACGTGAGTGTCTGCATTAGGAGAGCTGTGTGGAGAAAGACAAAATGGAGAGAAAGTGAGGTCTCCCAGGACTGTCACCTCACATGCTAGGAGGAGGTAGGAGGTTAGAAGGGTGGCACTCAAAGCTTCCTAGCCAGAGCCCATGGACATGGACATGGGATGTGGCGGAGTATTACTCAGCCATGAAAAAGAATGGAGTCCTGTGATGGGAGCAATGTGGAGGGAACTGGAAGGTCTTGTGTGCAGTTAGTTAAGCAGAGCCAGCAAACACTGACTGCATGGTGTCTCTCCCACGTGGGAGCTGTGGAAAGGGCTTGCACAGAGGTAGAATCTTGGTCTCCAGACACGGCAAAGGTGGAGAGAGGATGGTTAATGGGGAGAGGCTGCAGATGGTTATTTTTCTTTCCTAGTGCTGGGATGGAAACCAGGGCCTTGTGTGGACTAAGCCCAAGCCCCTAGGGGATATAATTTCTGGCCTTTTCTTTTTCTTTTTTGTCGGTCATGGGGCTTGAACTCTGGGCCTGGGCGCTGTCCCTCAGCTCTTCAGCTCAAGGCTAGTGCTCTACCACTTGAGCCACGTGCTGGCTCGAAAGCCACTTCTGGCTTTTTCTGCTTCTGTGGTGCTGAGGAACTGAACCCAGAGCCTCATGCATGCAAGGCAAGCGCTCTACCACTGAGCCACCTTCCCAGCCCAAGAGTGTGATCTTGAACACTCGTGAGCTGTTGCTCGGTTATAGTGTTGGCCTTGGAGGATGAGCTGGGAGAGGCCAGACGGACATCCCAGGAGGTGCCATGGTGCAGGAGGGCTCATCTTGGCCTGCTTCTCCTCTGCATCCTTCCCACCAGCTGCTATGCTGTGGCTGTGAGTGGGGATGCCTTCTGGAATATTCCAAGTTACCTACCTGGGGCAAAGCTCTGCAGAGAATGAGTATCCTGAGCTACCTTCTGACTCTTCAGGATGACAGAAAGGGTCCAACTTGTTACTCTGGGCATCCTGGTTGGAGTTTTCCAACCTGGGGCTCTTGGCGGGGTTCAAGGGGTGGCCTTCCTCTTCTGGAAGAAGAGGTAGATGTAGGAATTATGGAGGGACCAGGAGCAGGCATCTTGTCCCGAGTTGGCTCAGGACAGACTTGCTCCTCTGCTCTCTGTGGAGTGGTATGGGGCGAAGCTCTAAACAGGAGCTGAGATACATGCTTGTGTGGCTGCCATGGGGCGCAGAGGTGAGGTGTTTCAGTTGTTGTTCGCTTGTTTTTGTTTTGTGCCAGTCAAACTCAGGAACTAGGGGCTGCCCTTGAACTTTTTGCTCAAGACTAGCAGCTGACCACTTGAGCCACAGCTCCACTTCTAGCTTTTTCCTGGCTAATTGAGAAGAAGAGTTTTACAGAGCTGGGCGCCAGTGTGGCTCACGCCTGTCATCCTAGCTACTCAGGATGCTAAGATCTGAGGATTGTGGTTCAAAGCCAGCCTGAGCTAGAAAACCTATGAAACTTTTTTTTTTTTTGGTCAGTTGTGGGGCTTGAACTCAGGGCCTGAGCGCTGTCCCTGAGCTCTTTTTGCTCCAGGCTAGCTCTCTACCACTTTAAACCAAAGCTCCACTTCCAGTTTCCTGATAGTTAATTAGAAATAGGAATCTCACAGACTTTCCTGCCCTGGCTGGCTTTGAAATGGGTTTCTCAGCTCTCAGCCTCCTGAGTAGATAGGATTACAGGCATGAGCCACCAGTGACCAGTTCCATAAGACTCCTATGTCCAATGAAGCAGCAAAAAACTAGAAATGGAAGTGTGGCTCAAGTCACAGAGTGCCAGGCTTGAGTGGAAAAAAGCCAAGCGAGAGCTTGAGGCCCTAAGTTCAAGTCCCAGTCCACACACACACACACACACACACACACACACACACACACACACACACACACACACACACACACACACACACACACACAGTTTCTGATGATTATCTGTCACATCTCCTGTATTATCTGTCACATCTCCTGGGCAGCCAGGAAGGATCCAACAATACATAGCTTTGTTGGTGTGGTTTGTGACCACTGATTTGCAAACACTAAGGTTGGCTGAGTCCATAGACATTTGTACCAAAATGAAAAGTGAAATCTTCAACGGAAGAGAAACTCTTGATTTCCTTCCTTTGATCTGCCCCCTGGGACTAATTTCAGATAAAATAAGGCTAAGCTTTGTGTTCAGTGCCAGAGGACATCCACGGAGGGTGAGAACTGGCTTCTTTCACTACCTTCCAGAACCTTCCTGATCTTTGCCCCAACCCATCTATGGATACACAGAGTCCAGCAAACCAGGGAATCTACTGCCAAGAGAGGTCCCAAGTGACCCATCTTGGGTGGGCCTGGCTGTCCCCAGTTGTCCCCTTCCTTTCTCCACACAGCCGGTTGCTTCTCTCCTCTCTACACTGAATGTGTTCAGATGGTGTTTCTTTTCTGTTTGGAAAAAACAGGGGGTGCCATTGTAAGTTCATCGTTCCCTAAGTAAAATGATAGTTCTTAAGTCGTAAGGAATCTGTTTCTGCTGAGCACCGGTGGCTAATGCTTGTAATCCTAGCTACTCAGAAGGCTGAGATTTGAGGAGGATGGCAGTTCAAAGCCAAACCACAGGCAAGAAAAGTCTGTGAGATGTTAATTAATCACCCCCAGAATCTGGAAGTGGAGCAGTGGTTCAAAGGGTAGAGTGTCAGCCTTGAACAGAAAATGCGAAGGGACAGCACCCATGTCCTGAGTTCAAGCCCCAGAACTGGCACCAACTCCCCACTCCACACCCCCCAAAAAAACCCAACTTGTATTTTCTACTTTTGGTTTTCCAAAGGAGAAACTGAGGCAACAGCCTCAGTACTATCTCCAAATGAGCAGGAAAAGTGAAGAACCCAGATTTTTGGCCACTCAGAGTACCACCTTCAGCTACCCACCCCCACAAGAGCCTTGCAACACTTCAAATCCTAGGCAAGGGTCACCTCTGGGTATGGCTGTCCTGAAACCTGGGAGCCACATGGCTAAGCCACGGGCTCACTGCCAGACTGGGAGAAACATGGGAAAACTCACTTTTCCTTGGACACACCTCTCCATCCAGTCTGGATTGTTTATTTATTTGTTGGCTTACAGGACTGCGTTAGGTAACTATTTTCTTCTTCTTTTTCTTTTTTTTTGTCGATCATGGGGCTTGAACTCTGGGCCTGGGCGCTGTCCCTCAGCTCTTCAGCTCAAGCCTAGCACTCTACCACTTGAGCCACAGCATCACTTCTGGTTTTCTGGTGGTTTATTGGACTTTTCTGCCTGGGCTGGCTTTGAACTGCGATCCTCAGATCTCAGCCTCCTGAGCGGCTAGGATTTACAAGCATGAGCCACCAATGCCTGCCTGCAGAAATTTCTACAACAAATTCTCCCATGCTCCTCCCCAATGCAGAAGCACCAACACATGCCAGCTTAGGCCAAAGGCGACCTGTGACCTGTGACCTGATCTACTTGGGAGGCTGAGATGGGAGGTTAATAGCCTGGGTCCAGGTGTTCAGAACCAGTCTGAGCAATATAGCAAGACTCTAGTTCTTCTGTTTTTTCTGGTCAGTCTTGGGGCTTGAACTCAGGGTCTGGGCACTGTCCTGAGCTTCTTTTATTCAAGACTAGCACTCTATCACTTGAGCCACAGCGCCACTTCTGGTTTTTTGTGTGTATATGGTGAGGAATCGAACCCAGGGCTTCATGGGTGCTAGACAAGCACTCTACCACTGAGCCACCTTCCCAGCCACAAACCTAGCTTCATATATATATACATATATATACACATATATGTGTACATACATATATATATACATACATACATATATACATACATATATATATACATTTTTTATTTTCTTTAAGTAGTTGTACAAAGAAGTTCCCATTGGGGCTGGGAAGGTGGCTCAATGGTAGAGCACTTGCCTTGCATGCATGAGGCCGTGGGTTCGATTCCTCAGCACCACATAAGCAAAAAGAAAAAAGCCAGAAGTGGTGCTGTGGTTCAAGTGGTAGAGCGCTCGCCTTGAGCTGAAGAGCTGAGGGACAGCGCCCAGGCCCAGAGTTCAGGCCCCACGACCGGACCCATAAAACAAAACAAAACAAAACAAAGAAGTTCCCATTCTACAAAACAGTACATGAAGCCAGGCACCAGTGGCTCACACCTATAATCCTAGCTACTCAGGAGGCTGAGATTGGAGGATCATGGTTCAAAGCCAGCCAGCCCAGGCAGGAAAGTCCGTGAGCCTCTTACCTCCAATAAACCACTAGAAAACCAAAGTGAAGCTGTGGCTCAAGTGGTAGAGTGTTAGTCTTGAGCTGAAGAGCTGAGGGACAGCACCCAGGCCCAGAGCAACAACAACAACAACAACAATAAAAACTACAAAAGAAAAAGTAGGTGGGCTGGGAAGGTGGCTCAGTGATAGAGCGCTTGCCTTGTATGCATGAGGCCCTGGGTTCAATTCCTCAGCACCACATAAGCAAAAAGAAAAAACCCGGAAGTGGCGCTGTGGCTCAAGTGGTAGAGCACTAGCCTTGAGTTGAAGAGCTGAGGGACAGCGCCCAGGCCCAGAGTTCAGGCCCCACGACTGGACCCCAAAAAAAATAAAGAAAGAAAAGAAAAAGTAGGAACTTGGGCCCGAGTTGGGTATACATGTAACTAACTCAGTGGCAAAAGTGCCTGCCTAGCACATCTCCAGCACGGAAAAAATAATAACAATTTAAAGGAAAAAATGCTAGCTAGGCATTAGTGACTCACGCCTGCAATCCTAGCTACTTGGCAGGCTAAAAGCTGTGGATCATAGTTCGAAGCAGCCCAGGTTGGAAGTGGAGCTATGGTTCAAGTGACAGAGCACCAGCCTGGAGCAAAACAAAACACAACACAACAAAACAAAAAAAACGACAACTAAGGAACAGCACCCAACCCTAGAGTTCAAGCCCCAGTTGCCAGCCTAAAAACAAAAACCAACAACAATAACCAAGCAACAAATAAATAAAAAACAACCTGAATATATGAAATACCTGATGTGGGAGGCTTCTTTCTCTTATTCATTGTCTTCTTTGTGAAGTCTGAAAAGAATAAACAAAAGTCACTCCTTTTTTTTTTTTGGCCAGTCTGGGGCTTGAGCTTCTTTGGCTCAAGGCTGGCACTCTACCACTCAAACCACACCACCACTTCTGCTTTTTTCTGTGTATGTGGTACTGAGGAATTGAACCTTGGGCTACATGTACGCTAGGCAAGCACTCTATCATGAAGCCACATCCTCAGCATGACTTCTGTGCCTCACTTTGTCCCCAGCATCCTCAGCAGACAATAGAGGCTCCCCTCCTCCACCCAGCCAGCTACTCATGGGACACCTGGCCACAGCCTTGGGCCTTGGCCTGGTGGGAATTCAAGGCTCCTCCACATGGCAGAGATGGGGTGCCTATCTTCTGCTCAGGGTCAGATTCATATAGGCCCAGGGGTGCCTCCATGGGAAGTTCTGGCAACCCCTCTTGCAATTTCTGAAGTGAAGCACACAACACTCCTCTCGACTGGGGCCTTGCCAGGAACACACGCATGATGGGCTTTTTTTTTCTTTCTTTCTTTTTACTTCCGGTGCTGGTCCTGGGGCTTAAACTCAGGGTCTGTGTGCTGTCTCTGAGCTTTTGTGTCCAAGGCTAGCAGCACGCTACCACTTGAGCCATAGCTCCACTTCCAGCTTTTTGTGGTTAATCAGAGGTGAGTCTCCCGGGACTATCCTGTCCTGTCCAGGCTGATTTTGAACTGTGACTCCTGAGTAGCTAGGATTATACGCATGAGCCACGAGCATCTGGCTACATGAAGACTTTTTTTTTTGGTGGGGGCACAGTCCTGGTCTTGAACTCTGGATCTGGGCATTGTCCCTGAGCCTCTTTGTGCTCAAGGCTAGCATTCTACCACTTGAGCCACAGCACCACTCACCACTTTGGGCTTTTCCTGACTAGTCTGTTGGAGATAAGAATCTCACGGACTTTCTTGCCTGAGCTGTCTTTTTTTTTTTTTGTTGTTCCATTTCTAGTTTTCTGAGTGGTTTACTGGAGTCTTTATTGGACTTTCCTGCCAGGGCTGGATTTAAACCTTGATCCTCAGATCTCAGCCTCCTGAGTATCTAGGATGACAGGTGTGAGCCACCAGCACCCAGCACCTGGGCTGTCTTTGAACTACGATCCTCAGATTTCAGTGAAGACTTTTGAGTTGCTATCAGGCACCCTACAAGTTATCTGGAGCTGCCACAAGTGGCTCATGCATGTAATCTTAGTTACTCTGGTTGCTAAGGTGTGACTTCAAAGGTGAAGGCAGGCTGCAGCAGAGATTCTTTTTTTTTTTCTTTTTGGTTGGTCCTGGGGACTGAACTCTGGGCCTGGGCGCTGTCCCTCAGCTCTTCAGCTCAAGGCTAGTGCTCTACCACTTGAACCACAGCACCACTTCTGGCTTTTTCTGCTTATGTGGTACTGAGGAATCCAACCCAGGGCCTCATGCATGCAAGGCAAGTGCTCTACCACTGAGCCACTTTCCCATGAGATTCTTATCCCCAATTAACCAGCAAAAAGCCTGAAGTGGATCAGTGACTCATGTAGTAGAGCTCTAATCTTGAGCAAAAATGCTCAGGAAGCATTTTTGAACTCAGGCCCTGAGTTTGAGTCTCAGAGAAACACACACACACACACACACACACACACACACATGAGCTTATCTGGGAGCTGGGCATGGAGCCACTATATCTGTGACCCCAGCATTTAGGAGGCTAAAGCAGGAGGATCACTAGTTCCAGGCCAGCCCGGGCTCCATATGGAGACCCTATTTGAAAAAACAATAAAGTCAGGTGCACCCGTGGCTCAGGCCCGTTCTACTAGCTGCTCAGGAGGATGAGATCTTAGGATTGGGGTTCAGAGCCTGCCCAGGCAGGAAAGTCTTTGAGACTCGTCTCCAATGAACCAGCTGAGGCCCTGAGTGCAAGCCCCAGAACCAATCCAAAGGCAAAAGGAAGACATGTGGGGGCCGCGGGGGACCCCCTGGGGTTCTTGGGTGGGGAGGAAGGTTTATGGGACCCAGTTCTTCAGGTTATGGGGTCACACAAGCCAAAACACCGACCTGGACCCCAGAAATCGTCGCGGTCACTCCGTCCTTGGTGGCAACAAGGTGGGCCAGGATCTGTGGGGGACAAGGCGCTTGAATTAATTAACTAATTAATTGCACTGCAGGTTTGGGGGTGGGGTGTTTGGGGGGCATGCTTTGGAGAAAAATGTCCGTAATGGGCCGTCCCGGAGACCCCGGAGCGGCGGCCCGGCCCCCGAGGCCCCAGCTCCCCACAACCCACAGCGAAAACCTGGGAAAGCGGAAGACCCACACCCCGACCTCCAGAACCCGAGGCGCGACGCGGCGGCGGCGGCTGCGGAGCTGGGCGGGCTCCGTCGCCGCGCGTCCGCGCGCCTCACACCTCCGCGGCTCGCCCGCCTTCTTTCCCGCGCTCCTGCAGGCCCCGCCCACGCGCGCCGCTGAGCCCGCCCCTGGCGCCTGCGCATGCTCCGCCTCTCGCGGCGCAGCCCGCCGCAGTCTCTTCCCCCTGCCCCCACGGCCCCGGACACGCGCCTGCGCCTTCGGCGCCGTGCCTGCTGGGAGTTGTAGTTTCCTCACGGCGGGCCCGGCGAGCCCAGTGGCCGCGCGCGCTCCGGTGCGGCGGCACTCCGAGGCCAAGGCGGAAGTGGGGCGCCGAGGGCGCGGGATTGGCGGGCGCGGAACACCCAGGAGGGACGTAGACCTCAGGAAGGACGACTGTGCGCGGCGACAGCCCACCGGGGAGGAGGCAGGGCCAGGCCAGGCGCGGGGTCCGGACATCTAGACTGGACCATGCACAAGAGAAAAGGACCCCCGGGACCCCCGGGCCGGGGCGCCGCCGCCGCCCGCCAGGTGAGTCTGCACCCTGGGGGTCATATTGGGGATCCCTCAGCACCCCCTTTACACATGCAGGGGAGGGCCCCACCCACCCAGGGAGCCCCGATCCCCGCCCCCCAGGTGAGCCCTGGCCCCGCCCCCCCGCCCCAGGTGAGGCTTGGCCCATGCTTCATGGTGAGGCCTGTGGGCCCACGACACCCCAACTCCTGGCACCCCGCCCTGGATGCAGGTCAGGGCCACCTGTTGCTGGAGCTGCCAGGGAGGGGCCGCCATCCAACCTGCTCTGCCAGAGCTTGCAGCCACAAGGCCTGGTCACATTTGTTACCATTGTACAGGTGGGGATACTGAGGCCCACGGAGACATCTGCCCAAGGTCACAGATCCCCGGGGGGACTGCAGATCCGAGCTGTACCCACGAGCCCACAGGACTGCGGCCGGCCGCTTTTACCTGGGGGGGGGGGATATGAGGGAGGCGTGGATTTTTTCTTCTTCTTCCATTTGATTGAGGGAGCCAGCCCAGAGCTTGGTGCTCAGATATTAATTAGTTTGTGCCCCGAAAATCCACTCTGGCCTCTGCCTACCTGCCGGACACTCGGCTTTATTATCACGAGCCTCAGTTTTCCTCATCTGTGGAATGGGGCTCCCTCACCCCCCAAAAAAATTGCTACCTCACAGGACACTTGTGAAGATTCTTTGAGATCATTGGTGGAAAGTACATATTATCAGCATACCCCTCATTCCTGTTAGACAGAGCCAGGCCTGCTCAATAATATGTGGCCAAATTTTGGAGAACAGAAAGGACAAATTCAACATCGTGTTTTTACTTTTTTTCTCTTTCTCAAGGCTGGCACTCTACCACTTGACCCACAGCACCACTTCTGGCTTTTTCTGTCTGTGTGGTACTGAGGAATGGAACCCAGGGCCTCATGCATGCTAAGCAAGCACTCTACCACTGAGCCACCTTCCCAGCCTTTACCTTTTTTTTTTTTTTTTTTGTCGGTCATGGGGCTTGAACTCTGGGTCTGAACACTGTCCCTGCGTTCTTCAGCTCAAGGCAAGCACTCTACCGCTTGGGCCGCAGCGCCACTTCCGGTTTTCTAGTGGTTTTTATTGGTGATAAGACTCTCACGGACTTTCCTGCCTGGGCTGGCTTTGAACCTCAAGCCTCAGATCTCAGCCTCCTGAGTAGCTAGGATTACAACCTTTTTTTCTTTACCTTTTTTTCTTGTAACCCTTATGGGATTTCAACTGAGGCCTTGTGCTCGCCAGGCTGTTATGAAGCCACACCCCCTAATCCATATGATCGCATTTTGATTGGTCATTAGCCAAAATAGGAAGCCTGGTTGTCAACTGATTTATTTGCTGTCAAGACATCCTCCCCCCACACTCAAAGAGGTTCACCACTGAGCCACACCTCTCGCCCTCCCAGGGCTTCTGGTTGCTTTTGATGCTCCAACCTTCCTGCCCATCCATCTGCCAAATATTCTAGAAGGAAAGACCAGGTGTGCAGTGGCTTTGCCTGGGGCAGGCCGTGGAACCTGCTTTGCCCATGACCATGGCTGGCATTGCATCCATTGTGTGGGTCGGCTGCATTTGTCTGCCTGCACTTTTTCTCATTTGCTCTGTACCAAAGCGCGTCCTGCCCATTTCAAAACACCTGTTGCCCGACTCGCTGGCACTCCCCGGGGAAGCAGTGTGTCCTGGGAGAACTGGGTTCCTTCTTTACGGCTCCTAGTTCCTTCATGGCTGCCTGTGGCCAAGTGGTCCACCCCCATGGCTGAGTGGCTTCTCACTGTTCCCACAGCTGGGCCTACTGGTCGACCTCTCCCCAGACAGCCTCATGATACCGGATGATGGTGTTAACGATGAGGAGGTAGAGGCTGAGTTCTTGGCTTTGGTGGGGGAACAGCCCCAGGCCCTGGAGAAGCTCAAAGGCAAAGGTGAGGAGCTCATACATTGCCAACATCTTTGGATCTCCCATTGAATGGGGCTCAGAGCTGGGCGCTGGGTAGAAAAGCCAGGGGGGACCAGTGCCGATGGCTCACGCCTGTCATCCTAGCTACTCAGATAACTGAGATCTGAGGATCACGGTTCAAAGCCAGCCTGGGCAGGAAAGTCTGTGAGACTCTTATTTCCAATAAACCACCAGAAAACCAGAAGTGACGCTGTGGCTCAAGTGGTAGAGTGCTTGCCTTGAGCTAAAGAGCTTAGGGACGGTGCCCAGGCCCCAAGTTCAAGCCCCATGGCTGACCAAAAAAAAAAAAGAAAAAAGAGAGGCCAGGTGGGTAACAACAGAGAAGGCCCTGCCTGATGGAACCCATAATCTGGGTAATAGGCTCTGTGATCAACTGTGGGCAAAAATGAGGGTTTAGGAGCTTCTAGAGTTTCTGTAGTACATCCCAAGGACTACAGGACCACACATCATACTTAGGATGTCACCAGTCCAGACCTGTGTCACCTGCCTCCTTTTGTCAGTGCTGGTATGGTGGAGCACAGTGCCAGGCTGGACTCATGAAGGGGACACCCACTTCTAAGAGAGGGTCAGAGCAGGTGCAAAGGCCCTGGGGTAGATGGCAGGAGAAAGAGCACTCTGCAGTGGTTGAGGGAGTTAAAACCTAGAAGCCAAAGCAAGCCTTTCAATATGTTACTAATACAGGCTAGTCTCCTTATTTGTGGATTTCAAGCCAGAGCTCCACTATAAGCTTTAGAGTGGTTCACTGGAGATAAGAGTTTCAGCGGGTGGGGCTGGGAAGGTGGCTCAGTGGTAGAGCGCTTGCCCAGCATGCATGAAGCCCTGGGTTCCATTCCTCAGTACCACATACACAGAAAAAGCCAGAAATGGCACTGTGGCTCAAGTGGTAGAGGACTAGCCTTGAGCATAAAGAGGCTCAAGGACTTCGTCCAGGCCCTGAGTTCAAGCCCCACAACCTACAAAAGAAAAAAAAAAATGTGTTTAACCAGAGAACCACATAAAGCAAGGCTGTATATTAATCAGTTGTGACCAGCCGAGTGTACGTGGCTCACACCTGTAATCCTAACTATTCCAGAGACTGAAATCTGAGGATTGTGGTTCAAAGCCAGCCCAGGCAAGAAAGTGAACCAGCAA